CAAGATAGTTTCACACACAACACAGGTCAAATTATTTGTTCTCATACCAAGTACAAGTGGTACCAAACTGATTTGTACCACAGGTAGGTTGTTGTTCATTTGAACAAGAATAGATCACAGGAGATCACACCTTAATCTATGGAACATAGACATTAAAAAATGACTCATGACGTGAAACAATGTTAAACTGATTTGTGTGAAAATGAGCTTCAAATGAAGAACACACCCTGAATATACTCAACTTACGATGAAATTTTAACAATACAATGCGTGATTATATTTGTAACACAACTAGGTGAACTCACTTACATTTTGTGTGAAGATGAGCTGCAAATGAAGAACGCACCATGAATATACAATATTCAATGAAATTGTAGCAATATAAGTATTACATAATTTGTAATTATAATTTTAACTTGACTAAGTGGACTACTCCCTGGCATGTGAATTCTAAATCATGAATGGAACTTGAAGCATAGATATCATCTTTTGAAAATATGATGCTTGGAAACACAAGTGGGAATTCAAAACAGATGGACTTCCAATTTGATTGGAAGTTGAACACCCACGGGAAAATCAGCATCCCCTTAAAGACTTTGAGGTGGATCAAGGCATAATGTTATGGGCTCGTCTCACGGGAGGTACTTGTGGTGGAATGAAGGAAGGTTTACCAAGCAATCAAGTTATGATGTTGATTGTCGGATGAGGAGACAACTACAACGTTACGTAAGACAAGTTATCTAGACATCAATCTGTGACATGTATCATCACGTGTGTTACATATGTGAACCATAACACATAAGTCATAAATAAAAAAACGAAAAATGGTATAGGTGCATAAGAAGTTGCAAATCACAAAATCTGATTAGAGAGACCAGCCTTGAATATCAATTTTGCTTAACATGGCAACAGCTTGAGGCTTTTCAACACCTCAATCAAAGACTTTGATAGGGGTTGAGGTTTGAGCGGGAGATGGGAAGTGGATGTACTGGGGTATAAGTACCAAAATAGGTGCCCAAATGAAGGATCTGAGTAGAGAGACTGGCCATGAAATTAGATTTTGCATCACAGGGGGAAACCCTGAGCCTTTCCTTGGCTCCATTCCAAGACTAATCAAGGAATTGAGGTTTGAACTGGAAGTGGGAGCATGACTAAAACAGGGACAACTGTTCCTGTAGGGAAGATAAGGTCAAGTTTGGAGTAGTTTCAGGTTTTGTGAGGGTAACTTTACAAATGATAGTTTTTTTGGTGTTACCACAGCTCTCCATCACAATTTGAATCACTTTTATGTACAATGCGGGTCAATTGTGGGGGTCCATGTGAGTCATGGAGTGTAAATGAAACTTTTGCAATATGTTTGATGAGCTCATGATAGAGGTAGATTTAGACTCAGTGAGGATGGATCCATCATTGGTCAAATTTTTGACATCCCCGCATTTCATGATCAACACCATAATGACTATTCCATATCATTATTTCTCAATCTTGGTTGAATTGGTTAATGACATGGCTCCAATAAAACTTTTTTGTTCTGGTAGCTGGGTCAAATGTGGAATCATTTTCAAAATCATGCATGAAATTTTCATCTTTTTCAGCATTTACTTCCAGTCTCATAGTACTCTATGATAACTTATGTCATGTTTTCTATAATTTCATGAGGCTTATTGAATGACGGTGCTCCAATAAAACTTCCACAGTTTCGAAATTGAACCGGAATTGAAGACATATTCTTGATGTCCCAACATTACTGCATGATTTTTTCAACTTTCTTCAAGAAAATTTTTTGACTTTTGAAAATTTGTATTTTTTGGTCCAACTGACCTTATCATTCTGTGTTAAATGCCACTTGTGGTCTACTTCCACAGAACCATGTTTCCACAGTACTCACAAAACAAAGCAAGAACAATGGAGTCCAGTTAGTAACTCATGAAACCAGGACCAATTTTGGTGTAACTTGTAAACTGTCAAAGTTTTATTGTAGCAATGTCATCAACCAATTCCACCAAGATTGAGAAATAATGATATGGAATAGTCATTATGGTGTTGATCATGAAATGCAGGGATGTCAAAAATTTGACCAATGATGGATCCATCCTCACTGAGTCTAAATCTACCTCTATCATGAGCTCATCAAACATATTGCAAAAGTTTCATTTACACTCCATGACTCACATGGACCCCCACAATTGACCCGCATTGTACATAAAAGTGATTCAAATTGTGATGGAGAGCTGTGGTAACACCAAAAAAACTATCATTTGTAAAGTTACCCTCACAAAACCTGAAACTACTCCAAACTTGACCTTATCTTCCCTACAGGAACAGTTGTCCCTGTTTTAGTCATGCTCCCACTTCCAGTTCAAACCTCAATTCCTTGATTAGTCTTGGAATGGAGCCAAGGAAAGGCTCAGGGTTTCCCCCTGTGATGCAAAATCTAATTTCATGGCCAGTCTCTCTACTCAGATTCTTCATTTGGGCACTTATTTTGGTACTTATACCCCAGTACATCCACTTCCCATCTCCCGCTCAAACCTCAACCCCTATCAAAGTCTTTGATTGAGGTGTTGAAAAGCCTCAAGCTGTTGCCATGTTATGCAAAATTGATATCCAAGGCTGGTCTCTCTAATCAGATTTTGTGATTTGCAACTTCTTATGCACCTATACCATTTTTCGTTTTTTTATTTATGGCATAGCAGGTGCCAACATCTACTTTTGATCGCAGACATTCTGGATTCAGCATTGGCCTTAATACCAATCAGAGAGCGTCTGTAAGGTTCCAATGTATTTATACAAGGCAAGGTGGGGTTGGTGCTGTTTGATGCATCTGAGCTAAATCGAAAATCTTACATTATCGTGGTATCTTTTCCTCAAAGCAAAGTTGCTTATGCGAGAGCGATGAGATTGAAGGCTGAACCCCGATATCACGATGACTGAATCCGTCGATTTGTCACCTAGCTTGTCATTTGATTTAATTGAATGCCTCTCGATTGGTAATTCAGTGTCAGCCTAACTAGAATAGGAAACCAGGTCCAAGGCCAAAGAACCTTTTGGACACGATGAGCCTATGATTATCTTCTGCCAGCACACACCCCTTTTTTAATTGCCCAATCTCTCCTCAAATCACATCATACACAATTCCATCCAAGGGGCGATCAATACCTTGTCCACTTGGTGCCAAAACCACACGAAAGCCACGGCCAGCAGGACCGTTAGAGGGGTCTTCGCAAATAGTTTCTGTGATTGAGGCAAGTGGGTCGCGCTGGATGAAGAATCAAAATGAAGAAATCGAGACCGCCATCGCCAAGGGAGCTGTTCCGATTGAGATGAACGTAGATGTTCAGCCTACATATGTAAACCCTATTGATCTATTAGATGATACTGACGAGGAAATGTCATACTACAATTTGGACGAGTTCCCAGCAGACTTCTTACCTCATCCCGATGGCCCAGCACCTCCACATCCACCTTCAACCTTCCATGAATATATCAAAGGTTCCTACTACAAACAAAAACAATTGACCAAAATCGCCAATTGGAAAAAAGTCTTGGGAGCCATGTTCATGTCCTATATGTCTTGTTCGCGTCTTACCTCTCAATGGGGTAATCCACAGTTGTGGAACTTTGATTACAACAATGAATGTGCGTGTTGTGTTGGAGACTTGCGCACAAGATTGGTTGACATGGTTGACATGCTGGGTTTGTCTCAAAAGTTTAATTCATTGCATCCAGATCCGCGATTTGGAATACTTACAGAGCTGTGGTTTGTCTTAGGTCGAAGGCAAGAGAATCTACACTTTTGTAAGTGTACTCCAGATCAGGTTCGCCTGATTCGAATGGGATATATTGGAGGATCTCCACTTTATCCTCAGACGGCGTTCTCAATACGTCTGCTTCGGTTTCATCATACATTGTGGAAGTTCTGCACTGTGCAAATCCAAGGCTTTGCTCTTGCCTTGGATGAGTTCCTCGACGCTTTCAATCCCCTCATCTTATAGTATCAGGTTCTGATCAGGTAACTTTGCAGTTCAACTTGCAAATAAATTCAAATCCAAGCATTGACTCATAAAACAATCTGTGATGGTAGCCTCGATTATGGCGAAGGACACTATCTGTAGCAATCGATGCATATCGACATATGCTTTGGATGGAAGAAGAGCTTTCATGGCGTGCTCTAAAACTAAATTCCCTTGATATGCTGGCCTTGAACTGTGCTCGATGTTTTGGCCCACTGCAAGATGTTGACAACGACTACAAACCTCATTACATAGTCTGTGTTGACGGGAATTTCCAGCATCGCCGACATTTAGCCGCAAGCCGTGAGTACGAAGAGAAAAGTACGATCATGCCTTCTTTATTCATGGATCCTAAAAAAGTTCGGGAATGGGAATCAAGAGGTCCTCAAAAGAAGGATGACTCAAGAATAGTACGTGATCTATTTGCTCTTTCTACGCGGGCAGTCATTCTGACAAATTTTTGTGTCTTCAGGACCCATGTGCTGCTTTGCACACGGCTGCTTCCGACCATAGAGGTGGTACCACATGGAAAGGATGTGATGAGACAGGCCTTATTGGAATGGCCTGTTAACATGATCACATCCTCAGTTACGTAAACGTGGTTCAAACGGGAGAGAGGTTTGTTATTCAAATCCCTCAAGTTGGCTTTATTCTCACATCGGGTTCACATAGGCAATACTACGTTCTAGCATTGATGGACCAGCTATTTAAACGAATTGATGAGTCAGCGAAGCCTAAAAAACGGGTTGCTGTGCTTTACAATATTGGCTGCACATTAGCAAAAAGTCTGATTAAGGTACGTTCTTTGAACCAATAGTCCTTGAAAACTATCACTTAAAGTTCTGCCAAGTCTTTCAGAACAAGACTTTCAAAGAAGAACGTGCAAGAAAGGCTATAAAATTAGGGACAAGTGCGTTCCACTCATATGTCCATAATTGGGCGTGCCAACTTTGTTATAATCCAAGGCTCAACCCTGGCTTTGGTCTCTCGGATGGTGAGGGATTGGAGCGCAACTGGAGTGGTATATCGCCTTTGGTTAGTGTGAACAGGTACGCTTCGAAGCAGCATCGAATTGACAGTATCAGTTTGAAGACATGCCATCGCAACAAGATGTTGAGTCTCAATGCAGGTGAGTTGTTGTTTATCATCCATCATCAATCAAATCTGATTGGTGCTGTGTAAATCATCAAGTCCAATTGACTTCTTCAAAATTATGTACTGCCGAGAAAACACTTCAAGAAGCAAAATATGCTTTAGAGAGGCTGCAGTCCGGAAATATCAATTACACAAAGGATCACTTTGCATCACAATGGGAACACCAAAAGCACTGTCAATTGACTGCTATGGAAGACGAGTCTCTGCAGAAACTGGAACAGAAGTTGGTTTCCTTGCTCGAACTCGAGGAGAAACTGAGAGATGCCCAGTAAGTTTGTGAATTGTATAATACTTTTCAAATATTTTTTTGCTGATCATGCTTAATTTGATAGTAACCAATTGTCCAGCCTACGGAAAAAGCGTCGGCGGAATCAGACAGATACTGAGAGAGCGGATTTGGTGACATTGCCAGCCTCAATTGTCAAAATTGAGAAGGCTATACATAGCGTTGCCGAGGAACTTGGGAATCCAGAATTTCGTGATATCCGAAAGGCAACTGGTGTGTTTGTGTTTCTCTCATCTTACCCTGTGTATATATCATATCAACTCAATGTGGTTATAGACCCAAAGGCACGTGCTCTCATCAACATTAGGCTAGCTAAGATGAAGCTTTACAAAGCAAAAGTTGGAATTATTGAGGCGCAGAAGAAGTGGGATAGAAACGGGCAGGGTATGTTCAATACTCATATGAGGAGAATTATAATTTCATAAATGATCAAATTTAAATTTCACTCATGATGCTTTGTGCTGTTGCGATGAGTGATGACTAGGTACCAAGATACAACAGAGCTTGAAACAAGGGATGACTAAGAAGCACTTGAGTTTTAAAAAGAAATGGGAAACTTATCGGAAAAAAGTTACTCAATATAATGAAATTACGCCTGTGAGTCAACTAACGTGTCCTACAATGGACGCTGCCAAGCTGCTACCGTGTGAAGACCCGTTCTGGAATGTGGGGGCTTTGTCACACCCATCCGAGAGATGGGCCATAGACTCAGGAACCGTGGAGGGGATACAAGCATACTTGAAGTACCGGAGCAGTAGTGAGGAAATTCGTCGAATCGGTCGTGAAACCCAACAAATAGTTCTTGCAGCGCTTCGGACCAAGGAAAAGATCGAGGCCATCCAAGAACTATGTAATAGTGGTAAGCAGTTGATCTCGTACTGAGACTACAAATGTTGATAGATGGACTTACGTTTTGTCGATACAACCTAGAATGGGATGTAGATAATGGTGGAAGAGCACTGATAGAGCTTGTTCAGGGAGGGCAGCGTGTGTCAAAGGATGTATGGGATGAGAATATTGGAGTATTAAAGACTTTGTATGTCAATCTACGCCGGTCTCACGCCCAGAGGTGGTTAGCTTGGAACTCTGGAATTGTGAGACTGCTTTGGAATACCTGTCAATACACCCAATCTTCAGTGGAGGAGACTGAAGCGCTTGTTGGCCGGTGGGGAGGGATCGTAAGGCGATCAAAACAGATGTGGGAGGGAATCGTGAATGCTCCTAGTGTTGAAGCTTTGGGACTTGATAACCTAGAGATTGTGGAGCAGGACTTGTTGCTGGGAGAAGATGGTGAAGACGCGGATATAAATGAGTTAATTGGGGAAATGTTGATATATGATGAAAGTGAATTTGACAAGGATGAAGAAATTTGTGAATGATCGATACTACCTTTGTGTAGTGTATTCTTATTCAGTTTTTGGTTGTTCTTGAGTTTTGTAGCCTCCCATGCACGAGGATGGTTTGAGTCGGTCAAGTCCAAGTGTTAATAAAATTTGGTTTGGTTTGTTCTTGAGATTAGCAATCATGAGTCAGTGAAGTATTGAATCTTCTTTGTTGATTTTGAAAGAATCTTCGAGTTTTATTGTCTTTGAATGATAAGAATGAGTGCCTTTGAGAAAGATTTGTTGTTGATTCGTGTTTGATATTGAATTCTTGAGGGTGAGGTTTTGAGGGTGAGGTTTTGAGGGTACGCAAAGTCAAAGGTTTTCAGCTTTTGGCCCTTGGAAGTGAAGGTCGTACTTGTGTATGTAGAATCAGTGAGGCAGACTGATCTGGATCAGCGAGGCAGACTGATCTGGCGGGTGGAGATGACTTGTTGATTCTGGGACGTGGCCAGACGTGTCTTATGAGTGGACCAGCGAGTCTGAGTGGTTTATGTGCTTGCAGACTCGTCTGGCAGGTCAAAAACTTGTAGAGGAATGAGGCTCTAGATTTGTCTGGTACGTCTGAGAATCTGCCTGCAAGAGTAGGGTGTGACTCCGCTGAAAAATACCTGTTTTTTATTGGGGTCATACAGTAGGGTCAGGTAGCCACAGGTGGATCGATGACGTTTTGAATCTGGTGGTAAAATGTTTGCCTCATTGATAGCACTGGTAATATCGTGTATTTCTGGTATTGAAGACGATTGCCAATCCCAAGAGTGTTTAACTGGCATGATTGGAAGAGATATTGGTGGATTCGGAATTTCTGGTACTGGCTCAATCTGCATTGGAGTGACATAGGGTACAAGTTGATTTGGTGACTCCTCCGTTTCAATTTGCCTTACCAAATGGTCATTACCTTCTATCTGCAAGGAAACTTCAGGTAAGACGTTTCCAGGATATTGTTTTTGACTAGGTGAAGGATTCGGGGGTGTGTCAGGTGGTGTATTAACCGGTGTTGTTGATGGATTAAGGGAAGTGCTGGGAGAATACAGTGGGTCTCATCAAAGCCCAACTACCCCAACTACCCCCCCCGTAGGGGGTTCAAAATTTTGGCCTCTGAGGACCTCGAAAATCAGTGAAAAAAGTCATTTTCACCATGCAATTTGACTGATCTGGGGTTGGATTCCGCTTCGGGAACCCACTTTTACCAAGTTTAAAGCCATATATTACCCTCTGGTACCCATATAGTAAGCCTAAGGATGTGTTTAAATGTGCTCGGTTCGAAATATTGCCCAAATGTCTAAAAAAAAATTTTTTTGCCTCGCACGCGTCCATCCTCATAGGATTAGAATGAGATAGGTCCCCCGAGCCCATTAAGCTTATTAAAATGTGTGCTATGTAATTATGAGGTGTGTATAATTCATCTCAAACTTGAAATTTTGCTTTGCGGGCGCGGGGTAGTTGGGCTTTGATGAGACCCACTGTACGTCAATGCCACTTTCTCTGACTCAGTGAAATCGGTGATGTCAGAAGTGGAATTGATTAGACCAGGAAAAGAATTAACATTAAAAACAATGTTGTGAGAGTAGACAGTTTCACTGGTGTCAAGTTTGATCCTGTAGTTTTTCATTCCAAGTTGATAACCTAATAAAATACCAGGTGCGGATGTAGCATCAAACTTTTTCCGAAATTTCTTTGAAATGAGTACATAAGCCTTGCATCCAATAGGTTCAAGACGAGATACATCAAACTCTCTACCATGCCATAATTCGTATGGAGTTTGATTGTTGATCTCAGCCATTGGAGTTACGTTTCCCAAGAATACTGCCGTGCTAACAGCCTCAGCCCAAAAAGAAATAGGCAAATTAGAATGTCGCGAAAGCACACAAGCTTCCTCAGTGGTTGTTCTATTACCGCGCTCGGATACAGGATTCTGCTGTGGAGTGTAAGGCGAACTCAAGTAAGAGGTTGTACCATTTTCTTCCAACATTTCACGAAATTCCTTTGACATGTACTCTCCACCCTGATCATTCACAAGGCTCACAATTTTGCGGTTATGAAAGGTTTCAACTTCAGCTTTAAATTTCATAAAATAAGAGAAAGTTCCAGATTTTGCTTTAAAAATATACACATGTTTATAATTTGTGAAAGCATCCGTCAATTCAAAGTAATATAAACCTCCTCCTTCTGACACAGTTGAAATCTTTCCACTAAGGTCACTATGAACAACTTCAAGAGGAAAGGTAGCTTTTGGGATTGAACTGGGATACAGAAGACGATGACCCTTAGAAATTACACAGTCTTCACAAAACCAGTCATCAGGTGCCTTAACTCCATACATTAGTTGAAGTCGGTGAGTGTTTGTGTGACCTGATCCGCTGTGTAGCATGCTGTAATCAGCCACTGTTGTTTTATTGCAAATAAAAGAAGTAGATGACGAGCCTAAGATAATGTCCAATTCTATGACCTGATTCCTGATTTGACCGCTGAATCCAGCATAGCCTTCCTTAGTCAAGATGACTATACCTTTATCATGAAAAAGTGGATAACCGTCATTGAATAGACAACCCATGCTGATTAGTGGTGATCCTAAGTTGGGAACGTGATAGGCTTGCAAGACAATGTTTCCACCAAAAGAGTTACACAAGATGTCGCCTTTACCGGCAATGTGAATAACACTCCCATCTGCGAGAGATACATCAGATTTAGCTTTGACGTAGTTGGTGAATAACTTGATGTTAGAAACCATATGGTCAGAGCAAGCGCTGTCGAGTAAGACGATTCCATCATCAGTAGGGGCACAGCAGGACAGAGCGGTAGTTTCAATAACGTCGTCTAGATAGGCGGCTTGTAGAACAGCTGTCGTCGCTCGACTTCTTGACACAGGTGCAGGGTTGGCTGGTCAAAGTTCAGGAAATGCTTGATAGCATTGTTCAGGTTTGTGTCCTCTGACAGCCGGATTATGACGCCCGTTCAAACAGGTAGGATAGGGAAAACATCGAGCTGGTTGTTGCGGACGATTAGCAATAGTTGCTGATGCAGTGGCATTATCACGACGATGACGTTCATTGTAATCAACAAGATAGGAGTCCATGACATCAAGAACTACCTTTGTTTTCAAGGGACGTTTGGTATTGAACAGAGAAATTGTCATCTCCATCAAATTTGGAAGTTTGCCGACTATAGTTTCACCAATCAGTTCTTGAAGATCATCGGTGAAGTTCACACCGCACGCGCGCATAGTCGCAAGCGCAGATCAAGTCTCTTTGATATACTTGTCAAGGGAAGTGAACATGATTCTAGTAAAAGTAGAGTAGGCTTGACCTTTACTACTAGAGGTGGTGGCTTGAAACTTCTCTTTCATAAGTAGCCAGATCTTCAGAGGTTGATAGATGAACCCTTCAGATTCGACAATAATACGGTATTGTTGAGTCATATGACTGAACATAATACCCGCAGCCTTACGTTGACGCATAACGTACAAATCGTAAGTGACTTTTTGTTCTCGTGAGACCAAACCTTCAGGTTCTGGAGGTGGTTCTGCTTCAGGGTCAATGAACTCATTGAGTGAAGCCGACATTAAGGCTCCGGTGATATCACCCTTCCATTCAGGGTAATTGTTGTCGTCGAGTTTGACAATGCGTAAGCGTGCTTCAGATGACATGATGGAATAATTGAGGTGATCAAAATGAAGTGTGGTGTGCGTTGAAAGTGTGGTAGTTTCTTGAATCAATCAGAATTTGTGTGCAATAGCAAAAAAAAAATTAAGCTTCTCGTGGTGTGTAGCAAGATGTGATGGTGAAGGTTTCCCAATACAGCTAGAGAGCTGGGCTCATAACCAATTGAACTATGAATCAATCTAAGATTGTTCAAGGTGTCAGCTTTGTAAACCAAGCTGCACACTGATCAAGAGAAAAGAACAATCTGAAGTAATGAAGATTGTAAAATATAAGTTTGATTTCCATAAATAAGTAAAACAAACAACATAACAACTTACACCTAAGATTGTTCAAGGTGTCAGCTTTGTAAACCAAGCTGCACACTGATCAAGAGAAAATAACAATCTGAAGTAATGAAGATTGTAAAATATAAGTTTGATAAGAGAAAAAGAGTTAAAACAATGAACAACGATTTACTCTTATAGAACTCTAACATGATGACATCATTAACAATCTTACATAACCAAAAGATGAAGTAATCAAAGAAAATCATAACGTGAAAGAAGAGACGCGCTGAGATTACCAATCTCAATTGAAGTCAAGGACATCAAGGCATGTAGTGTTGGCGCTGAGCCCATAACCTGAAGCGGGAGGGATTGGGCTCATACAAAAATTTAGTTTTGATGAAAAGAAAACCCCAATCTGACACTGGATATCAAGATCAAGCTCAGCTGGGAATCATGTAATGCTTAATCATTTTCTTTTGAGCTTATGAATTAATGATACAACTTTGGACCTCTAGTTTTGATCACATCAATGGCCATACTGTCAATGTTGGGTTCATTTGTCATGTCCTTCATACTGAGACAGGTAGATCTTATTGCACACGGTTACTGATTTATTATACATTGCTTACTGGATTAACATACACTGTTTACTGATCTATTGTACACTGGTTACTGGATGACCATGTCTTTTTATCGCAATAGAGCTTGTTCACTCCTTAAATCCGCTAGAGACTTCAGCCAACACACTTGGCCTTTCGTATATTTAGCTTAGGTCGATTCTTACTGTTCTTGACACTTGAAGCTATGATGAGAATTTGGATTACCGCGCCCATCATATTTTGAAACCTACAGACAGATACATGGAATTATATAAGCAGAAAGTCTTGAGTACGGGTGAAAGAATTGAGACCAACCAATGGCCATGGGCATAACTTCCTTTGAAACTGAAGCCCTTCAGCCCTCTGATCATTTTTGAACTTTGCTGCGATCATGTGATCCGGAGCCTTCCCATTTTCGGTCCATTCGATTAGCGCCAAGACCATGTCGTGCTTGCTGTCAAACTTGGAAGATTGCATCATGTCAGTTGGAGGAAACACTCCTTGTCCAGCTGCGCCTATGCTTGAAGCACCCGGTCCTCCCCCACAGTGACCCATACCTGACCAAAGAGAGCAAATCAATTCCGAGTTCTTAAAAGGACTGATGAGGGCATGAAATCAGTAGTTACCAGGAACTGGGAATAGTCTGTAAGACTCTCTTGGATCTCGTCCCAACGCCTTTTTGACTTGACCGTGGTACCATATAGACTAATGTATTTTCAGATCGGATTAGTGAAATCATCAAAGTTTGGAGACCAAAAATGTTTCAAAGCTGCCGGTGTGACTTACAGAACGGCTGGGGATCAGGGGATCTAGGAAGAGCAGAAACCAAGTATCAGTGGTGATAGTAGCGGAAGAGCCGCTGGTACAGATTTGTACTGACCAGACATTCCAGTATAAGTCATCAATTTCCCCCCACGTTGGATGAAAGGTAAGATGTTACCATCGATTGCATTGCACTTCCCAGGGTCTGTTTGATCTGCGACGGAAAGCATCTCAATGATGCCTTTTGAGGTGAAGTTGTTGTCCCTGGTAACACTGGTAAGATTCTTGATGATATCAAAGAAATTTCACGTCAATTAACTTCGAAAGACGATGTTATTGGTAATGAGTCGACTCACCATGACTTGATATTTGAAAAAATCCGTTGCCACTGGGAATGGTACCGCAGGCATGAACATACCGGCTCTTGCGAAGAACTCAGAGCCATGCGTATAACTCGGAAAGAGGAAGGTTCCATCTCCATCCACCCAATCTTCAAAAGCAGATCGTACTACGGATATTTGTTTCGAAGTCAAGCATTTTGGTGGTATCGTTTCACTGCTACTCGATTTATGTGAATTGACTTGGGAGCACTGAAGTGATTCGAACGTTGGCTTGCAGACTAGCGGATTATCAATGACCCCATCCTTGACCCCATCCAACATATCACATTGGGTCAAGGTATGTTCATGGACGAGCGCCCAATCGCTTATATTCATGAACCCTTCCTTCATTGGTGAATTGCGCAGGTTAGATTCCACCATCCATCCATTCCTGCATGAATTGACGCTGAGTCAAATGGCTATGATGCACAGCAAAGTGAGGAAATGAAAAACTTACAGATGAGTCCACCATTGCGCTGCTGCACCTGCAAGTACACCATCAAAGTCTTTGGGATAGGCTTGCACTTCTTTCAGACCTTGCTTGCCTCCTGAAGAACAACCTGTATACAAAGTATTTCTTCAGCTCAAGAGCGCAGATGATGAGATCGTGGAAAATGGACAAAATAGTGAAAAGACGAACCCAGCCAGTAGTTCTTGTTCGCTGGTTTGCCGTAAAAGTGCTTCACAGCTGATTTGGAAAATATGGTACTAAGGTGGACCGCACGATACCCAAAATCGTGACGTGTTTCTCCATTCGAAATGGCGAAGGTACCATCGAACTCCATGCCATCATGTCCAGTGTTCGTCGATGCGACTGCGAACTTGTATTTTGTCAGCGGGACTGCCTAGAAAGTGATGAAAATGGGTCAATACCTGCCAGAGAGGACGCAGTATATGAGCTGGGAAAATGGGTACGACTTACCATGCTATCATTTACCCGAACGTTCAAGAATAGGAGCAATGCAGGTGAGCACAGTCTTCATCTACAATCATTGTCTGAGAAGGGCTCACTCTGGATAATTCACCCTCCCAGAATCTAGATTTAGAAGAAATTGCACGAAGGAATCGTCTTTGAGTTGTGAGCTTGCAACATCAAATAGATGAAAGACTGACTTCCTCCATTCCCGACAAATGCAAATCTACCACTCCAGTCTTCCAAAGGTAACCAAACCTCGAATTGAACACGACTGGTGCTCGAAGTGTTGAAATAGCCTCCTGATAATCATGAGTTTCATGAATCAGTAGGACGTCAACCTTATCTCGACTTGACGTTGGGCTCACCAAATCTACAGAACTTTGGTAAGTTGGGGATCACCTCCCTGAATGGCACTGTGTTCGGAGATGATGCGGAAAAGTTACTGGAAGCTGCAATATTTCAAAAAAATCATGTAGCCAATTGAAAATAAGTATTGAATCAGTCGCACCAACAAGAAATCATTTGAAATGGTTTCACTGTGTAAGTCTGAAACATAGACTTCAATTTTGTGTTTCTTGATGGCAGCCGGGACCAGTTGCCGTAGATTAGCGCAGCGAGTAGCCAGCTCTTGCCCGTCAGTGCCGTTTTGAGGTGAAGCGGACAGATTCGAGAACTGATTGTCCGACGTAAAAGAGCGAGCTAAGACTTGACTTCCGCACAATACTCCTCCTATTGACAATGAGAGCCATTGAATGAAAAGCCTCATTATGGGATGATATCTGAATCGAGCTCAGTGGGGTTTATCTTATGTATGGTCAAGTGTTTTGTGCAGTAAGTTGAAATTGTACAAAGTTGGAACTAGAGCCCAAATGATGAAATGAAAGGGATCCGACAAATCAGAGTCTACGGCGATCTGAACAAGCGATGAGAATGGGCTTCGATGAATCGTAGTCTACCGCAAGCGGGGGATAAGCCTGGATAAGCCTAAAGTTTTGAGAAGTTGAAAGAAATGTACACTATGCGTAAATTTTTGAGATGAGGATGAACAGGGAGAAAAGAGGCTTGATGCGATGGCACCAGCACACAACGATTTATAGAAGGCTCAATTCGTGCATTGAAAAGAGCCCCTTGAGATCCTTCTCTCTCTCATCTGTAGCAACCCAGACGGCTTGTCTTCTTGTTCCAGGTATCGCCAAGTGACCCTGAAGTTTCGCCATATCGATACAGCCGGGGTAAAGGATAAGCCCGTACGCATCAAAAGTAACGTGGGTTTAGCGCAAGAAAGCGTATGTACACCGCAAGACGAGAAAATTTGGAACCTTGTGGCAATTGATAACACTAGTGCGAGAGCAGCGCTGGGAGGTTTATCAACAACCCCAGGGATTTTTCTGACTCATGACGCTAACCTTATCCCCCCGAAGATACGACTCCAGTTCACCCATTTATGGGTTTGTCAAGCAGGCACAAAATACTAAACCGAAGTGGCATCACAACCCATTCCACAGGTTTTTCCAACATCCCGTCTGCGAAGAACTGGCCGAGTTCATCCACCAGATACCTCTCGACCCAACCGACATCTTAACCCGCCCTACCAACTACACCACAATCATCCAAGAAAATGAAGGACTCGCCAAGACCGAGGCCAACAAACTCACAGCGACACTGGAGCACGTTGTGATTTTCACGGATGGCTCCAGAATACCGAAATGCACCACGGCAGCCGCAGCGTGGTGCAAAAACACTAACAAACTAGACCTTAGGCGGGCGAGCCCGCCTCTAAAGCAAGACTTTACTTACTATCAAACAAATTGGTACAACTTAAACATAAGGCAGAATGCATGTATTCATACTGATTTTACAAGGTTAACAATCTATCATCATTGACTTGACAGGATTCAGACCTTGGAGGAAAGGCTTGACAACGCACTGATCAGGTGTAAAAAGATCAATTGTTATATGGAAACAAGAGAAAATTACATCTATATCCAAGTACAAATAGAATCTTGTAGACAGGAATCACAACATACATATGCACAGTAAGGAGGTGATTAAGCTGAAGATGAAGATGGATATGTTTCAAGGTATATTGGGAGTCGGTACGAGTATTGACCAACGGGAATGGGTCGAAAGGCGACCGGGTAGTGAAAGCTCACGGGGTGGAACCATAACGTCCCATCCTCTCTGGCGGAGATACTTCCATCTCACATGCCTTCAGAGGATGGACGTTAGGATGCAAGTTCCGCAACACATCATTTCCCTAAATACCCATCACGGTGTGAGGAACTCTTTGTCCCACATTTGAAAATTTCCTATTTAAAAATTTCCTACTTTCTGTTAGCTTTCAATCTACTACAAGCCGTTCGCATCGCTATTAGCTCAAACAAAAATTCCTCAAAAATTTTTGTTGAAAAAGGAAGAAAGAGTCCGCACAATTATCATCGCGACAATCATTTCTTTTTGCTTAAAAAGTCTACCTTAAGCAAAGGCCTTCTTTTTCACAATACTTCTCTCACAAGTTATGATCGCTGAGGCAAACTTGGTACAAGATCGTTTCAAAGCTATCGATGCAATCCTCACCAACTATGACATTGTGGGTGGCAGCACAGCCATGTCGATGGGCGAACTTCGTGACCAGGTTGCGAAGGTCTACGACCCATCGTCCCACGACTTCATATATCATTGGTCAGCCGTGGCACGAGTCGCAATCGCGCTCGACCACGCCCAACGCCGAATTGAATACGGCACGGTGGATGAGCTCCCACCAGGTGCCGACCCTATGGCGGAGAAACCCTACGTTCTCCGCCGAAAATTTAGACCATCCTTGGACGCCGACTACTACCGGCCACCTTGTGGTTTCATTGGGAAACAACTTCCGGCTGGGTTCAAAACGTCTGACCCTAACCAGAACTTGGAAGATCTTTCCATGTTCCCGGCAGGAGGTTTGCACCATCAGGCTGAGCCAACTTTTCCATCGGCCTCACCACCGCCTTTCCAACCAAGACTCCCTTCACCAGGAACCCCTCCCTCCCCAGGGAAAAAGAAAAATCGACGTCGGCACCGCCGACGGGCTCCATCTAACCAGGATGACGGAGTCCTTCGAGGAGCCGACATTCCTCTGGCGTTGCGGGTCTCATCCCCTCGGCAACCAACTGCTGGAGGATCTCAAGCCAAGAAGCTTATCATCCAGCCAACCATCAGCCTGGCCGACAGATTGGCGCCGAAACCGGCATCCAATGTTGCTGATAAACGTCTGGCTTGTCCATTCATCGATAACCCTAAGCGAAGAAGGCACAACTCGCCACCTTCGTCCTCATCCTCGTCAAGCTCATCTTCAGACGGAGACTACACGCCTCCGCCAGCACCGGCTGCCTCTGGGGCACCAGCCAACTCTGGAAGCAAAGGGGACAATGACGATGAGATCCCATTTCTGGCTCACAACAAGCATCTGTCCCCCAAAGCTTTTACCCCTCTCTCTTCGCAAATTCAAAAAATCACTATCAAATACAAGTCAAACATCAAGAAATTTGTCTCCCTATTTAACTCCTGCGGTAACCGCCCAGCCAACTGGCACAACTGTCTCACCAAAGACTTGTTGGAGTATAATTTCATCGATTTACGGAAATTATACGGCGAAGTTTCCTCCTCTGCGCCCTCGGAAGCTTTTCTCAAAGTTAATGACGCCGGCAAGCTCAAAAGCATTGATGGAGCGCCTCCCAAAGAGATCACCAACAGCGACCACTGGAAAGATCTCATGTCTGTGGCTTGTCATGCGTATATCACAGCCTTTCCTCCCGCGGCAATTTTCATCAAGAAGTATTTCGATTACATCTTCAGCTTACCAGGTTTGTTCCAGGCCAAATTCAACTGGAAAGATGTCAGAGACTTTGACGTCGAGTTACGGAAAGAATTCGCCTCCCGGCCATGGCTGGTTTGGGGAGACTACACCCATGATAGTCTCCGAGGCATTGACAACCAGATCTTGTACAGTGCCGCTAGTTGGTTCTCTCGCTCCGCGCGCAACACCGTGAAAACGCCTGCAGTATCACGAACAGTCATCCAAGAGTCAATATCTTCTCCACGAGCAACGGCACGAGCGACACAACCCAAAAAACCTCGAGGGCGTCGCAACAAGCCCAACTACACCGTCAAGAACGCCAAAGGGCTTCCTATTGCTGATCAAATATGCATTAATTGGAATCTTGGCGTTTGTCCCCATTCAGACGCTGAGTGCGACAGAATACACAATATGTGCAACAAGGATGGATGCAATGGCACTCATCAAGGAAGCAGCACTCACAAATGAGCCCAACAACCGCCGGTTCCTTCGCGGGTTGGAAATTGACAGTTTATCTCGAGGATACTCTGCCTCAGTCAAATCATCCCTTCACGCTGAACCCCTACCTTCCGCTCCCCCTCTATCATCCGATCCCCTAGCAGCCTACGCTATCAAACGCAGGCCAGACTTATTCAAAATCACTTGCCCAATAAAAATCGATAAATTCGTTGCTCTTCTCAAAAACCACCAAAACAGACCTCTAGTTGATTCCGTCGTGCTAGGGCTCACGGAAGGATTCTGGCCTTTGTCGGCAATGCCTTCGGACGAGACAGTGGACAACTTCAACCACGCCTCTGGAGCCAAAGCCGAGAAAATCTTAGAAAAATCCCGCAACAAAGAAGTCAAGGCGGGCAGATACTCACCTCGGTTCTATACTCTCTTACCTGGGATAAAAGTCTCCCCGCTCTGCCTGGCGACAAACCCGAATTCAGGCAAAGTCAGAACATGTACAAACATGTCATTTGGCAAACCTTCACCCAACGATCTCATCAACAAAGAAAAAATACGAATCGACCTAGACTCCGTGGCATCATTCATTCCTCATCTCCTAATTCATCGTCAATCCAATCACAAGGTTCTGATTTGGAAGTCGGACGTCGATGGTGCGTTCCGTATCCTGCCAGCTTCCTTGCAGTGGCAACTTTGCCAAGTGGTGAGAATTGGTAAGGCTCTCCACGCAGATAGAAATGTGAACTTCTGTTGCTCAAGTTCTCCGAAACTTTGGTGCACATTGTAGAACTTAAAGCTCAACAAGAGCTTTACAGAGCTTCAAGAGGGATAATCTACTAATATAACTAACTAGTAGAATTTGCCTAAGACTGCCTCTTTGAAAGAATCAACACGGGGTTTTGCTGAATTCTTTGGGATAAGGCACCAGAGAAATTTGTCTCAATACTTAATTCAAGTATTATTCCCGTGATTTTTAGAAATAAAGAAATCTCAACACTATTGTAGTGTTATTCCAATCTGAGCACAACAAAACACAACTTTAATTACTAGCAAAAAGCAACAATCAGTTTGATTGTTATTCCAATGAAGACTTATAGTCTTATCACACGTAAAGAAATCTCTCCTTTGATGTAAAGGGGCAATTTAGTGAACTTAGTACTGCTAAAGTAATTTAATGATGATTAAAAACACTCTAACAAAAGTATAAGATGAGTAAAAAGGGGAACAAAGGCCCGTAAAATCCTTAACAATAGTATATATCCCTCTAACAACCTTCAAAAATGGTCAACAACCTCCAAAAACCCTCAAAAACCCTCAAAATCAACAGAAAATCCTCCAATGTAACCATATGATGTCATTATTATTATTGTTTGTAATGATTCAAGGCGTGAATTTGATCAATTGATGTGAATAAATGATGAAAAGATCTTCTTATGATGAATACAGGTGAGTTTTTCCTAATATTCATAGCTGAAATCCAT